TATAAATGTGATATAGTCGTAGTAACATCGCTGTGAGATCGTAGCGCAGTCTCTCCGACTAGAATCGCGCTTTCGCTACGCTCTCGGTACGATGGTACATCAACCTTTGCGATCTTACCACGACCTTACTGCTCTCTCACTACGCTTCTACTACGACATGATTTCGCCACGACCGCATAACGATTGTTTTGAACATGTTCAAAGTTGGTCCAAGCTCATCACGATCATGAAGACATCACCACGACCGTACCACGACCTTACTGCGATCTACACGATCGCACTACGATCGTCAAAATTTGCATTTTTTTTTCAGGATCGTAGTGCGATCGTGGCCTAGTGTGACGGGGGTATTATATAGTCATCCTCTTTATTCCGTCCTTGTATTTGCAAGGAGTTATGGCACTATAAAAGTCCTTGGTATTTGTAAGTGTAAAGACATAGCAATGATTAAATGACTACTGTCTGTTGTATACACTGCATTCATTCTCACATAACGTGAAGAAGAAATAAAAATCCTCGATATTTAATCGTTCCTTTTATTTTGTCCTCGCATTTATTTTGTACAAAGATATATCAATTAATGAATCCCTACTAATGGTACACACTGTATGCGTCGTTACATACAAATAGTGAAAGTGAAAATATAATAAATTGCAACACCACTAGTTTACTATTATATTCCGTCCTCGCAAATCTCTATATCATATGCGAGTACGGAATAAAGCGCAATTTCAGACTGTGTTTTATATCTTCGCTTTTATCTGTATCATAAATTCCTGGACAAAATAAAGCATAATTTCATAATATCGTGCATTCCGTCTTATCAAATGACTGTATAATATAAGCGAGATCGGAATTTTGTGCGATATCATATTTTATCATATACTTGTATAAAATATTACTAAAATTTTACAGTTCAATAACATTTAGAAATATTAAAAGGCTATGAAAGGATTACTAGGTTTATTGATCAGATTCCTAAGAATTTCCTCAGCGGGCTGATAAAGGAACCTTTATTGACTGCTTTCGGAATGTTATCACATGCCTTTCCGTTAATTTCCGTGACGTTTATCACATGCAACTTCGTGCATTTCCGGAAATTTGTTCGAAAACGACAACACAGTGCGGAAAACCGCAAGTGATTTAAGACTTTTCACAAAATGGTTGAGGAGCAAATTTCAAACTAAGAACATGATAATTGTTGTGACAAGACAAATAAAATGCTTGTAATATCAATAAAAACAATTAAAGTTAAGAAATTTGTATTTGGTTGTCTGTAAATTATTATCTAAAAATTCATGGAAAGACAAAATTTTAATTAATAGTTTTTGTCTGTATTTCTTCTGTTGAAGTATATGATAAAAAGATAATTACATGTCATTTATCATATCAGACCCTTTATCGGCCCTAGGTCATGATATCAGCCCTCGAGCCTGCGGCTCTTGGGCTGATATCATGACCTAGGGCCGATAAAGGGTCTGATATGAAAAATGCCATGTAATAATCTATACGTATTGTGGTCTTGTATATCTTTATGTGTATCAAATATATTCATTTTAATGTCTAAAAACAGAACATTAAAACACAAAGGTTACCATGCATTTTATTTTATATAATTGTATATTCCTCTTTCAAAAGCTCCATCATGGAATCAACTGAACATATATCGTACATAATGCATATAAAATAAAATGCGAGGACGGAATAAAAGATATAATGAAATTGACCTTTATTCCGTCATAAATCTTATACTGACATGTTAGGTTTGGTTGATGTTATATAACACACTTAGGCACAAGGCGTAGAATATTTCTACATTTCATGTAGATGGGATAATAGAAGGATATCATGAATAATTGTTGATTCCGTCTTATATGCAGTAGGTTGAAAGTTAAAGGATACCATTAATATACTTTTTCAAGTTATTCTTTTTATTTGACCTTTATTTACCCCTCTTTTAGTCCCACCCTTATGGAAAAATTGTTGTTTAACCAAGGAGTAAAACAGGAATAAAATATAACTGCTGTAAAATCTAATGAAATGCAGATGTATATTAACCCTTATGGAACAATTGTTGTTTTACTATGGAAGGTGGGACTAAAACAGGATTAATATATAACTGTATTTCATTAGACTTTTGATGGAAAACACCTATATATTAATCCTGTTTAAGTCCCACCTTTATGAAAAAGTTGTTGTTTTACTATGGAAGGTTGAACTAAAACAGGATGGACGTGATAATCTCATCCACTTTATGTGAATTTTAATTTTTATCTTAATTTATATTTGTATGTGTTATGAATGAGAATGTATTGTGTATTGTTGTCATTATGTCCCGTCAGTTGCCCTTGATTGGAAATAAAGAGCTTTGAACTTTGCTTTTTAACTGTATTTAATTCGGCTGAATTTTTTTCTAATTTTGGTTTAGTCCCACCCAGCTGGGACTTAACCAGGATATTGCCATTTTCTGTGTATTTGTTGTGTGAATAAGTCTTGTTCTTCGCAAAGTAAGATGTTCCTGACCTAAACTAAATGATTGTATTTACGTTTCCCTTTTTTTTTTGCAGAAAAAGCTGTTTAAAGAGACGATGTAGTCGATCTTTCAATTGAGCATGTGGATAGTAGTGTGAAGCGTGGAAAAATCAAAAGTGTTGATATTACTACAAAATTGTTAAGATTGTGATTGAAGATTTTGAGTAGAACTTTAGAACTTTTATAGAGTCCACATCAGATTGACACCTCCGCTTGAATATATACCTCCTCACAATATCTCTGATGGCCAGTTTTTACTAAAGAAAGAATTTTGGTAAGAACTTTTAATGTTAAGTCGGACATCTTGACGACCCGGCTATATATCGTTCTATTCAAGTTTCTTTTAGTTTAGGTCATAAACGTAAACTGTCCAGTATAAAGATTTGTATCGTCCTTTTTTATGTGAAAAACTAATGAAGAAAGGACGTTTTTTTTCGATTTTCTAAAATCTCCTCTTTGAACAGTGCAGGAACGTGGGATTCTCAGTTTTGCTGTGAATTCCAAGTTCTTAAGTGAAGCATTGCAATTAATGATTTTTGCATTTAAAAAACAATATTGTCTGAGGCTTTATCTGCTGAAATAACAGCATATTTGTCATGAAAAAAAAACCCTCAGCAAATGAAAAGAAAATAAGACATCCATAACCTCTGCCTTTTTGAAAGGGTCAGAAACCCGTGTGCTTATGAAAGAGTTGGTATTACTTTGTTTCATTAAAAAGAATGGCGAACGTAGATACAAGTATCTTGTCTTGGGGAGGAATAAATCCTACTTTGTAAAGAATCACCCTGATTCAAACAAAAAATTCTCTGAAACTGACATTATCAAGATGCTTGATTTCTTGATTGACAACATATTTGTTACGTTTGGAGGACGTGTTTTTCAACAGACTGTCGGAATTCCAATGGGAACCAATTGTGCCCCTCTTCTTGCCGACAAGTTTCTTTGTTATTATGAGGCTGACTTCATACAGGAACTTCTTAGGAAGAAAGATAAGAAGTTAGCAATATCCATTAACTTTACGTTCCACTATATAGATGATGTTCTCTCACTAAATAATACAAAAGTTGGTGACTATGTTGAACGAATCTATCCCATCGAACTGGAGGTAAAGGATACTACAGATACAGTTAAGTCTGCCTCATATCTTGACTTAAATCTAGAAATTGACAATGAGGTACCGGTCGGTTGAAAACAAAACTTTACGACAAAAGAGATGATTTCAGCTTCCTAATTGTGAACTTTCCATTTCTATGTAGCAACATTCCAGCAGCGCCTGCATACGAAGTATATATCTCCCAATTGATACGATATTCCCCGGCTTGTATTTCCTATCATGATTTCCTTGATAGAGGATTGCTGCTCACAAGGAAGCTATTAAACCAAGAGTTCCAAATGGTGAAGTTGAAATCATCCCTTCGTAAATTTTACGGACGCCATCACGAGAGCACCTGAGATCACCCCCAGTTTTTGGCGGGGTTCGTGTTGCTTAGTCTTTAGTTTTCTATGTTGTGTCATCTGTACTATTGTTTGTTTGTTTGTCTTTTTATTTTTGGCCATGGAGTTGTCAGTTTGTTTTCGATCTATGAGTTTGACTGTCCCTCTGGTATCTTTCGTCCCTCTTTTATATCGTAGATTTTGAATACTCTTATGAATATCTTACCGATAAGCTTTGATCAATTCAGATAAAATGCCTTGTTTATGTTGATTTGGATTGTAAAGTTTATTCAGCTCCACTTAGTCTGGTGTAATTCTTGTCTTATACTTGTGTGTTCATTCTGTCGGAAATAATACCTTAGGGAAGATCCATCATGGAATTTTTACTCTTGTACATCTTCCTTGGATTACAAACTGTTTAGTTTTTGTTGTTTCTTTTGAATCTACCTTAAGGAAGATCCATCATGGAATTTTTACTCTTGTATATTTTCCTTGGATTGCAAACTGTTTAGTTTTTGTTGTTTCTTTTGTAGGTGAATAACAAAAAAGCTTCAGAGACAACACATTTATAAAGTTATCCTAGTTCACTGTTAAGCCCGTTGATTTCAAAAGCCAATGCATCGTCAATAACCATTTTTACAGAATTTTCCGTAAATACATTTAAAAAATAGACAAATGATATAAAGGGGATAATTAAGAATCATGTCAAAGAAAAAGAGAAAATCCATGAAATAAAATAATCCCAAGATATTATAAATAAAATAAGTATAATTCCAAATCTTGCTGAAAAAACGCCGACCTTAGATGATTTTTGCGGTTCTTTGAAGGTCTCTTATGGTCATTTAGATCCCAAAGTATTTTTTTCGACCTTGTCTTTTAAACTGTTCGTTCTGAACGTTCCTGATGAAGAGTAATCCAGAAAAGTGTTTCGGACGCACCAAGTCTATAAAGTGTTTATCAAAAAGATCCGGAAGGAAAGAATGTTCACTGTAAAATATCCGAGTCTTGTATTCATGCCATATAAAAGACATACATTAGTTTATAAATATTTTTTTGTTTAAAAGTAACAGGTACATCAAATCACATTATGAATTGGTAAACATATACAAATTAAATGAAACACTATGGTTTTTGTAATAAAAAACAAAAATCAGGACACAGAATCTAATCAGGAAAAAGTACAGATCCTCTGTCCACACTTCGTACGCTAAGCGTGCTCACATGATCCGTCTTTTTTTATTGTAGAATTTTTTTATTTTTTTTTTTAGTTCGAAGTGTTGAAAGATATTACATCACACCTAAACATGTTGAAGAACTTGCGATGTGAACACACGTTAATGTTCGGTGTTATATGTTCGGTGTATTATTGTCAGCGAAATCTTATTCATTAGTATATTTATTTTCATATTTTCATTTAATAATCTATTTAACAACCCATTTATTTCTTTATTCGTCTAGTTATATGGTATTGCAATTTTTTCATTTTGTAAATTATTTGTAACAGATTCTCCTGAACATCTATATTAAACGCCAGATTTCATTTGCTCTCAACAAGAAAAAATACGAAAATTAAATACAGAGGAAATTATGTTTATATTCAATTTTATTATGTACAATATAAATGGACGGCAACATACTTATATATATTTCTAATAGTTCTTCCTATAATTAAAAAGTGAAAAACTATAACTTAAGTAAAAAAAGAAAGTATGCAATATTGGAAATATACAAAAAAAAAATTCATCGGCACACGGAGATTGTAGACATCGTACATTTAAGTAAATTAGAATTGAAGTCGAATGGTGACGTTGTGTATTATTATTTTAGTATTTATCATGTTTATTACACCTTATACAACCATATCATTTTACTTATTAAATATTATGATATATTGATATCCATTTTCACTTTAATGCATTATGCATACATTATATTTTTTTAATTACAAATATAGAAATGAATTCTACGAAATTTGAAAAAAAAAAACGTTAAACCGTAATATTAATATTTGATAAAAAATTAGGCATTAAAAGAATCTGTTCCATTGGAAAATATGCCAGGTAGTCGCTATTTATTTTTATTATTTGCAAGCTTTAGGATGATAATGCAGTACAAGTTTCATCTTAGGACAAAGTTTTTCTTAAGTAAATAGACTTTTTTGCATATAGATTCTATAACTGACAAGATACAACACATGATGAACAAGTTTTTAAACTGCCCTTTTCAATAAAAAAAACATAAATACCCATAGATTTATACCCGTGTATTAACGTCATGTATTTCCAAAAGTCTAAAATGACTATATGATAAGAATATTGCAACATACTTATAAATATGTATAATAGTCAGTATTTCCAAACAAACTGCTGACCATTATACGATGATAATATTAATTTTATGAAATATGTGTTAGAATTTTTAGCAAATAACTCTTCTTAATAAAGAATGGGATTTTTTTAAACATTAGGGCAAAGGAAATAGTCCTTAATTGTTTATTTTTAAGTAAGAAATAGGCAACCATCGATCGATAAAGGTCAGACAAAACAACGACCAAACAAAAACAAAAGAGTGATGATGCTTAACAAATGTTGAACCAAAAAAAAAATAAAACTTATCGTTTGAGAAATACAACCAACCGAGGGTTCATTCAAATGCGCAAAACTAGCTATTTCTGTTGTACATGTTGCAACCGTGTTCCATATCATGTTGAATTCCGTGATTATTCATTAAAGGAAATGAAATACGAACCGTTCTCCATCTTTATGCTAGGCGGCATCCATCTACTAAGGAATTATCTGATAGAAAATGAAAACTTTGGATCAGGGGGAAAATATAAAAAGACTGTCGACGATGTGAGTTGTTACCTCAATAGATATTAGTTTTTTTTATAAACAATACTTCAATTAGTTTATAATGAACAACGATATATAAGATATACAGTAAACGAAGAATTGATGACAGACTATATTCAACCTGTTGTCAGTGTATAAGCGGAAGGTCGTAAGGGGTTATATTTACGTTATATCTAATCAAAGTACTGTAAATCACCCAAACAACTTAATAAACTACATTACATGTTGACAAACTAACTGTCGTGAATTAACTTCTAGAATATAGGTACAGAAATAGTCTCTGAATTTTTTTAACTGTGTACAACGTTCGATATAAATATCAGAGAAATTTGTTACAAACTATATATATATAATTAGTCTGTGCAATTCATTATATTACTCTTTGCAAAAGCAATTTATCAGTTGTGGTAAGAAACCAGATTAAATATGTTCAAACCAAATAAATTTTACACAAGTTCAAATTGAAAATAAAAACTGAAAATAACTCATTTACACTTGTTAATCATGTTGGTAATATATACATATATTTGTTTGCATAAAAAAAGTTAACAATTCTTTTATGATATTTAAACCTTCTTAAGCAATGCATATAGTCATACAACGATCACTTTTCCATTTGCGTGTATACATTCAATTACAAGGATAAATCGTTTACAGCTACGACGCATTGTTAGAGAAATAAAAGTATTGATCATTTGAAATAAAATAAAAATGAAGATAACAATATTTGTCAATATCAAAATGCTTATAAAGGTATACAAAGTAACAATGTTTGATCTACTAATTTATTATATCACATTTTTGCCTTTCCCACAGCATTCATGCCTTTTTCAAATTGTAGCAACTCCTACTCCTATGTCCAGCACCCTAACGACGTGGCCAACTGGGCTATACGAAATTTAATTTTCTGTTAGCCAAGCGCTTTTTGGCGTAGAATTCATCTACGTTTACTACACAGTACATGGTGTAGATGGATTACTAAGCAGATCAGCTGTTTCTGTCCGTCGTAAATAATATTAAACAAATACATCAATATAGTTTTGTTTTATTCCCTATCTGATAACCTTATGTTATGCAGTGGCATCACCACAAGGTTATGTAAATTGTGGAGTTAGCCCTGTATAAACCTAGATAAATAATGTCAGTCCTGGGTTATTACATGTTAAGACGTACAAACACATATATATATATATATATATCATTTGACACCCTTCATGTAAACTGGGACATGATATATAATAGTTCCAGATGTAAATAGTTCCAAGTTTGAATTTAAACCTGACAAATCGTCAGTCATTTTCACTCTGCAATTTATTATTCTAATCAGATTAGATCAAATATTATACAGAATTGCAAATGACGGTTTTTTTTAGAATATCATAAAAAAATGAAAGACGCTTGGTATAAAATCTAAAAAAAACAAACATAGTGATTTAGCAAACAAAAATACACATAGATGACTAGATTATTTAGCTGTAGAAAGAAAACACGTAAAAACCGACGAAAAAGTTGAGTTTTGTATAAACAATTAAATCAAGTACTGTACAAACAAAAAAAGTCTTCGTAACATATTGTTTCATTCTTTAAGGATACAAATTTTTCATGACATTTAATGGAATAAAAATGGTCAATCAGTTAATTTAAGATTAATGTTGAACGTTCTTACATTGTTATCTCAAATCAAACCTGATGGATATTAACTATTTTATTTACATACTATTGCATATATTCAAATATAAAATTATCGGACTAACTTTTGAGGCTGTGTATGCTGATGACTTTTAATAAGTGTTTCATGTTGAATTTTTATTCAATAAAAAGAATCAAACTTTTAGTAAAAGTTGTATCCCAAGTATTTTGCAGCGTATACAGCAACATTTTCTTTTTAACTCATATGACACAATATTTTTCAGAATAGTAGAGACAACCTAACTATATCAATATTTCGATTTTAAGAAAAAGAAATGTAGTATTGTTTTAAACCAATTGCAAAATGTTCAAGATTGCATTGGATTTTATAATTAAAGTATAACTGTGAAAATGTATTTTATGACCAAAATAATCACAAACTTTAATTCCCGCAATATCATGTTCTAAATTTGTAACTTAAAGTTACATTAGAAACTTCTCAAAACGTTTGATGATAATAAACAAACTTTCTCATGTAGACAGCATGCTTCTTCTGTGTTATTTAAATTAGTGTGATATATCATCTTCAAATAGTATTACAAGGAAAAAGCAGGATGTACCATATTCGAAACGTTTGTTTCTTTTGAAAGAAACAACATTATTTTTACCAATGTTACAGCAGCAAATACGCCTTTCGACACCTGCGCATCTGGTGCAATAAAATTGGTATCGCTAATGTTATTGTTACCAATGCCTCTTTGGTGATGCTCTAGGCCAACATATTGAAAATCCAAAAGATAATACAAACGTTAAAGAGCTGATAATACCACAAAGGACCTAAAGTATAGCCAAATTCATGACATGAAATCTAAGCAATGTCAAATAATACTTTCGTTAACGGTCATTGAACCCGTTGTAAAAAATGATGTGTACGTTTTAAAGCAGGTTCATTGTGTATTATTTTCTAAATTGGAAAATATTTTTAATAGACAAAAACGGTGGCATTGCACAAGATATAACTTAACTGCTGTTTGCATCCATCTTTACGCCTGTTTATGCATTTTCAATTAAACTTCTTGTAACATATACATATATATAGAAAATAATCCCCGAGTTTAACAGCAATTTAAGATTGTCACCAACTGTTGTAATTTTAACAAATCCCATTTCATTTTATCACCAATCGTTTGATAACAATTCATCACTACTGGAGATACTTATTTTTATACTATACTGCATGTACTGCTTTGGTAGCTTTTATGGTCTAGCTTTTCCTTAGTGTTGTTTTTCTTCATGTGACTTTCAACTGTAATATTAGATTCTTTCTTCCCCTCAGGTGCAGAAAAATTGGTAGTTACCTTTTCTGTCACGTATCCATTCTTGAGCATACCATTCAAATTATTTTCGTTCACATTATTGACTTTTGTTAGGTCTGTCCGAATTTTCTCTGGGCTGTTCGCATGAATATTGAGTCCATTAGTCTTACAAATTTGTTCGTTTCTAGCAAGTTTATTCGGTGAGCTTTCATTGCTATTCCGTTTAAATTGCATTTCTTTGCGCACAGTATTTGGAATCTTATTTCGATGAATATCATCAAATGATACAGGAGAGTACATTGCGCACATGTCGAGAGACCTTGAAAAGTGAACATCCGGTGATGATGACCTTCGAGACATTTCTTCCATGACGATTGAAGCCATCGGACACATAGATATATTGTCATCTGGAGTTGTTGATCTTTGTCCAATTAGATTTTCATTAACTTTAGAACCTTTGCCTAACAACCAGTATGTTTTCATTGTTCCTTTACCCTGAAATAAATAAGGTATTTAAAATAAACAGATCACATAATATATGATGTCATCGACTGAACATAACAGTTATGCCTACATAAAAGAAATGAATTTTGTGCTTGAATGTAAGATACATGTTTCATTTCACTTCAGAACAGCCGAGAGCCATAGTCCATTTTGTATATATTTATAGCAAAAACAAGAAATGATTGTAACAGGATGCTGTTACGAAGTCTCCCAAACAATTCCCATAAGTATAAACCCCTAAGGACTCTCCCTATTGAATAAATTGAAAAATGAAAAACAATTCAAGGTCAAAGGTCAAGGTCATTAATGATTATTGACCTTTTGACCTTTCAGTAGGCCATATGTTTCCATGGTCATTACTGAAGACCCAATTTGTCTATCACTCACTGTTCTCAAGTTATAATCATTTGAAAACAAAAACAATTAAAATCCGATAGGGTTCTATAGTAAACCCCTCCTTTCTTTTGGTCCCTAGGTTAATTTGACTAGCGGTTTTGGAGAATGGATGCGGAAAATTTCAAAGTGGCGGAAGAGGAAGAGGAATAATAATAATAATCATAATAAGAACTGAGCAAAACAAATAAGTCTCCAAACTTTGTTTGGGAGGCTTAATAAACAAATATTGCGGTAAGAAAAACATAAACGCCAACCCTTCACACTAACAAAAAAAAAACTGTGGTACATCTTTATTCTATGTAAAATTACAAATTATGAAATTAATTGTGAATTGACGAGACCATGTATACATATACACATATATTCAACAGTGTTAATAGACACATTATAAGGTAACTATTTTTGCTTCATTAAAACAGAATAAATTGAAAGTATTTACATTCTCATATTGAGATGTTTTACCTTCACATCAATTGTTCCTCGTTCGTGAAGTATATAGTCGTCATCCTGCACAAATCGATATGTTGTTTCACCGACGTGTATTTTCATACTCTGCAAAATTAGAAACATATTCCTTTTTATATTAATTAATGAGGAAATTATAAACTAGATGGACACAACTATTTATTGTCAGGAAATTAAAATTAAATTATTAACACCATTAAAAAATAGAAAAGCAATACCATGGAAATCAAAATTTATCGATGTTTAAATAACAGTGTACAAAAGACTACATATAATAAATATTGAAGAATACAAATATCATACAAAAAGGCGATAATTCTATTCCATGAGTATATGCCTTTTCTGCTTCACACTTGACATCAGTCGTGCTGCTCATGACAAGTAACATTAAGGTTGATCAGTTTTATTTCATAAAACGTTATACACAAGAAAATGTGGACTAAATTGACAGCACTGTGGTCATCCGTGAACTGATATTTTGTAGTCTCAGCAGAAACTCCGAAATTTTTCACTGAATGACTTTCAACTGAGATTTCATATCAATATAGGGAGGAATTATCACAAACTTATCAACTAATTTTTTTTTAAACCAGAAGCTGCTGATCATTTCCCGTATTTACAAAATATTAACTACACACTGAATATTCGGCTTTGAGCGTTCCTGATAAAGGTAAATCCAAAAAAGCGCTTCGAACGCATGATAACGTGTTGTTTTCATTTTCTGGATTCTGTGCAAGATAAGGTATTTTCTAACACCGCTTTTAAAACGAAGGTTAGTTTTTGTAAGTAAAAAAAAAATTTTTGAGTATCTATAAAGTTTCATTCAAATCTTAATTTTCAACATGTGAGATGAAAAGACCTTCAAATTGTTATATGAACAATAAGTTTTTAATGATAAGTTTTGTTTCTCAGTGAAATGAATTTCAACGTCTTGGTTACGCGTAGGAAATTTACGCGTAGGAAATACGCGTCTTCCACATTTAAAATCGGATTTCTGTGTAGCAATATATCTGGAAAAAAATCAACTACAATGATATTGTTTAAAGGAAAAGGAGGGTTTGGGGTTTGTTGTGATCGAAAGCCGATAGAGATTCATACAATATTTACTGCTGTTGTATTTCATACGCGACAAAATATGATAGACCCAGCCCTCGAATGTTTTTTTAACCTAAATTCCCTTATAAAATTTCGTTTGGTAACATTAGGCCTAAATTTTTAGAGAAAGATTTTAGGTCGACGATGACGAAAACGGACGCAAAGAAATATCAATAGATCACTGAATGGTCGGGCTTCACGCAAAGTGACTGTTGGTGATCTCAAATTTTTAGTACATTTAATACACTAATAATTAGATATAAAAAAATGTGGTATGAGTGCCAATGAGACAACTCTCCATCCAAGTCACAATTTGTAAAAGTAAACCATTATAGGTCAAAGTACGGTATTCAACACAGAGCCTTGGCTCACACCTAACAGCAAAACTATTCTAATCAAATATGCTTACATCTGATATTGAACTGAAGATATTGTCCTTTTAAGTAGTATGAAGTTACGATTATTTGAAAACGCTATCTTTACAGTCTCAAATAGATGTCTAAAAGTAAAATAGGAGGATCAAATCTGTTTGAATACAGTTCTTTGCTCAAGTTTATTGATTCTGTAACGTTTTATTCAAATAGGACTTACGGCTTGTCACAAATCACCAGTATTAGGACCTACAACACCAAGAACCACCAGCACAGAATCAGCACATGTTTAAACTGTTGAAATGCACAATTTTGATAAATTGCTACAATTTTTCACCTAAAAACAATTGCCGTGCTGATTTTGGTATAGAAAGTTGACTAAATTTTTGTTCAAGCATATTGTTTTTATTAAATTGTTTAACAATTCACAGCGGTATAACATGTTACTTTAATTATTCTTCCCTTAGATTATTTATTTTGTATTTACATTGTATCATAGATCAAATTTATTTGTTCAGTGTATGTGGACTGGTGTTAATATGTCTTTTGATTAAGTTAAGCCATTTCAGTTGATATCTTATAGTGTGTCTTTCTATGTTGTGATGTTACACTATTGTTTCAGATAAGGGTGAAGGTTTGGTACCATTAAAACGTTTAAACCCGCTGCAATTGTTTGCACCTGTCCTAAGTTAGGAATCTGCTGTTCAGTAGTTGTCGTTTGTTGATGTGGTTCATAAGTGTTTCTCGTTTCTCGTTTTTTATATAGATTAGACCGTTGGTTTTCCCGTTTGAATGGTTTTAAACTAGTCATTTTTGGGGCCCTTTATAGCTTGCTGTTTGGTGTGAGCCAAGGCTCCGTGTTGAAGACCGTACTTTGACCTATAATGGTTTACTTTTATAAATTTTGACTTGGATGGATAGTTGTCACATTGGCACTCATACCACATCTTCTTATATCTAATCAATGGGCACTTTTGTTTATTTCTTCTCGTGTTATATTCGGGAAAACGTCAAAAATCATAATTTACATCTTTGTTTAAATATTTTCAACGATCAGGACCAAATCAAAAGCACCGAACATTTTCTCGCAAGACAACCTTACCCACCGTGAAATTAACGACTATCAAGAACTTTAAAGTCAACGTGTCAAATCTGTTACCGTTTGAAAAAAACCCCAATATGAATAATTTGGAGACAATTCTGGCGAAGTAGAAATCTGTCTGGTCAATGTTGAAAAAAAACTTTATCAGTCAATACATTGTCTACTGCAATAGCCTCGCGGTTTGAATTTGAAAATTAAAGTGTCTGGAGTAGAGAAATATCGTATCACACTCGATACGGTGGTAGAATCTTTATGTATTTAAGGGCAATGAAAACCGGTCATTCATATATGCTTATAAAAATGAACGCTTAACAGAAATATACAATGAAGAGTCTCATAGAGTAATTACCGTTTGAAAATAATCATTCTTGCATGTAAAATACCTTAAACGTGTAATTTGACAAACACTGTTGCGGATGAACCACTAGTTACTTAATTTTGAACTTATTTTTTTATCCTACCTCTCCGTTGGTTTCCATTCTAGAGGCAGTATTGACGGTATCTCCAAACAAACAGTATCTTGGCATCTTAATACCCACAACACCCGCAACGGCATTTCCTGTATGGATACCTAAACAATAGTAATATGGAAATCATAAGGCTTGGTTTTATAATTGATATGGAATTGAAAGTGAGAGTACAAGTTTGAAAAGCGTGTAATATTGACTGCCAACGAAATACAATGAATATTCAGAGGATGTGCGGTTCGGTCTACCCTACAGGTACCTTGCCGACCTTTCGAAGATCTGTTGACTGAGTTGAGCATGTTACTCTCCTATAATGAATTGAATTTATCATAATAAATGTATTAAACCACTCTGGATGTAAAAAAAAGTACACAAGTAGACATCTTATTTTATATTAAGCTTATCAAAACTTTGAAAGTTATTGATATTTGATATTTTATTTAATTCTGTAAAATATATAAAAAGATAAGCATATCTTCATATGTCTTAAAATATTTTGCTTTTCAATAGGAGTGAATAACTCCTGCTTGAAACAGTTTTTTTTCTTCTTCAAAATCCTTTTCAATGATCAAAACAAAGACCTCACCAATTCGTATTTTCATTGATCCGCCAGTAGAAGGATCCCTGAGATCTACAATGGCGTTAATCATATCAAGTGCCATATCAAGTATCCTTGCCGAATGGTCAGGACATATTTCTGGTGCGCCAGCTACAACCATGTAAGCATCACCAATTGTTTCTACCTGTTATGGGTGTAAAAGGTCTATAGTTAAATCATACGGCGTCATACGTTAGTTTGTTTTAGGGATTTACCAATTTTAGGTTCAGACTTAGGCTACTATGGATTCAAATTTATACTTCAATTGGTATCGATTATTCATAGTAATCCTTGATAATGTAAAAACAACTTTCATAAACTATGAAAATTTTTTTTTTCTATTCTAATATTTGAAGATAATGTATGAAGCATTGCAAAAGTAATGAATGTGATAGAAAAGTTATTTAACAACAAGAATGTGTCCATAGTACGCGGATGCCCAACTCGCACTATCATTTTCTATGTTCAGTGGACCGTGAAATTGGGGTCAAAACTCTAATTTGGCATTAAAATTAGAAATATCATATCCTAAGGAACATGTGTACTAAGTTTCAAGTTGATTGGACTTCAACTTTATCAAAAACTACCTTGACCAAAAACTTTAACCTGAAGCGGGATAGACGGACGAACGGACGGACGAACGAAACGACGCACAGACCGAAAAACATAATGCCCCTAGGTGGGGCATAAAAATAGGAGAAAAAAAGACAAATAGTCAAATAGATTTTTTTTAAGGTAATAAGAAAATTGCAAAATGCCAAACAACATTATTTAAACAGTAATAGTAACAAAATGTTACTACAGTTTGAAAAGGACTAAAATGTAAGGCGCGCAGAATATGAAAACTGAACTTTGAAATAAAATTTCATATAAGTCAATGAAGCATAAATGAAAATAATCAAATTCACCCCTTTTAATTAAAGTTTTTTATATTCCACTGAATGTATCTTTACACAAAGTCATATAAATAAAGGCAACAGTAGTATACCGCTGTTCAAAAGTCATAAATCGATTAAGAGAAAACAAATCCGTGTTTCCAATAATTGTCAGACAGTTGGCACATGGGAAATGAACTCATCAATGAAGCATACTTGTTTACTTTGTTTAAACACCCCTTTTATACCTTCCTGAACTCAAAATAACACCATGTTATCTGACTAGAGGTCCCATTCTAACGCCGACTTACAACTGAATAAAAATAGAGTAAGCGTAAAATGTAGGTCAGATTGAGGATGCTGCTATACCTCCCATAATTCATTATTCCACAAAGTAATATGAAAGAAAGGTACTTTGTATCTGAAGTTTGAATCAATATAAGAGAATGAAGCTTAATATGTATGCAAGATTTACCTGTTATCTATAACATACCATGAATACGTAAATAAAGGAGTATGGCCACGAAGGCCTTAAATTGGTCCCAAAAATCAAACTTTGTTGTACTAATGTAAAAACCTGTATTTACTATCTTAAATATGTAAATTAAGATAAAATAAACACTTTTGTTGCCTGCTGTTCGTTACAACAATGTTGACAGCTTCAAAAGGATGATACTTTTCAAGATTGAAGCCAAATTGCCTATTTTTATGCATTTGTAAGGTCTATTTTATCTAAAAATTAAAAAAAACACATTGGCCACACACTTTGACCAAATTGAAATTGTTATAAAAAGATATAAATGGGTCAGATACATCTCATCACAAAAACATATAGTGGTCCTTGCATATGGCCAATCTCGTTTGAAGCAAAAACTATTCCAATTCTATCCTATTTTGGGGAAATTTTAGAAATTCAAATGTGACGTCACCTTTTCTTAGCGTTGATCACTTTGGCTAACTCGGCTGTGAATTTTTATGTGCTGCTTTATGTTGTTTTATGTATACGTTTTTATTCTGTAGTTAGTCACCACTTCGGTGTTATCATGTATATCTATTATATAGTCATTTTTATAAATTTACTGTTTACAAAAGTATGAATTATTCTAAATACTAAGGATTTTCTTATCCCAGACATATAACCTTAGCCGTATTTGGCACAACTTTTTGGAACTTTTGGTCCTCAATCCTCTTCAACTTTGCACTTGTTTTGGCTTTCGTACTTTTTTTATTTGAGCGTCACTGGTAAGTCTTGTGTGGACGAAACGTGCGTCTTGCGTATTAAATTTTAAATCTGGTACCTTTTGTTAGCTATTATTCGTATGTTTCTCTGTCCTATATGTTCTCTCATTTATTTGTATTGTAGTCCTGTCATGTAATGTTGTCATTTTAATGTTATAATTAACATTGCCATAAAAGCGGGGGGTTTGGCTAGCTACAAAACCAGGTTCAACCCACCATTTTTTTCTTAAAATGTCCTGTACCAAGTCAGGAAAATGGCCATTGTTATATTATAGTTCGTTTCTGTGTGTGTTACATTTTAATGTTGTGTTTCTGTTGTGTCGTAGTTCTCCTCTTATATTTGATGTGTTTCCCTCAGTTTTAGTTTGTAACCCGGATTTGTTTTTTCTCAATCGATTTATGAATTTCGAACAGCGGTATACTACTGTTCCCTTTATTATGCACAAATCAGTTAAAACTATTATTTTCTTCATTAGAGTGCACAATCATGACGTCATAATAACATCGCGATAATTTTAAAGAGTCCGAGCTTGTTGAATTTGTTTTTGTCAGATATTTTTTTCATTTTTCGTCATCAAATTTTTATTTGTATTAATTAAGGCCAATAGTGACCCTTCCTGAATCTATTCCTTTGAAATTAAAAGGACTTATAAAGCATGTACATTGAATAATCATTTCATGTTCAGTCTTTCTGTCCTAGTGATAAGATTTCGTCATACCGATAAATATAGATTATAACATGGCATTTTTCATATCAGACCCCTTATCAGCCCTAGGTTATGATATTAGCCCGAGAGCCGACAGGCTCGAGGGATGATTTTGACCATGGGCTGATAAGGGGTCTGATATGAAAAATGACATGTTATGTTCTTTTTATCATATAATTCACCAGAAGCCATGCAGACATGAAAACTTTTTTAAAACTTTATAAAATTCATTTATTGTATTATTTGTTTTGCGTTTTTTAGTAATATATTTTCCTGTTTCTTATATTCCTTCTGTTATTCTACTTAGATATGTTTTTCACTTAAATGTACCACTGAGGTTTATTTTCCGGAATTTGCAGAATGACGTCGAAATGCTTTGCGATTACGTTAAAGAAAGGCATGCGATAATAACCGGAAGCAGTTGATATAAACCGGAAACAGTTGATATATACCGGAAGCAGTTGATAACAAAAGTCATATCACACGGCTAAGACAATTCTTCAAATTTATTGAATAAATATATGTATAAATTAGTTTTATCAAGCGGTACAATTATACCATTATTTTCTACAAGTATATGATAAATTCCGTTCTGTTTAGACAGTTCACGAGTGATCAAATAACGAATGTTTTCACAAAGTTTTGCAACTGTTATTTTCTCTAAAAAAAAGGTTGGAGGACACATAATACAAAATTATCTAAGACAACTATCACTAAAAATAAATAAATCATAATAAAAACTGACAAAAATTAGAACTATCTTTTAACGGTAAGCCTATCTGTCTGATCGTAGGAAACAACAGCTCTTAAAATATTACCATAGAGCATTATTGTGATATTCATATACGCACATACATATTTTAAGCAAACAAAACAACAAATTTATTTTACATTTTTGCATTTATATAATTTGGCATTAAATAAAACCACGATAAAATATTTGACATAAATATAGTTCGTTCCTGCCACCTGATGTCCATCTAAACCAACGCCAGACTAGACTAAACATATTCCTTTAGGAACGATAATAGCTACTAGTTTTTTAACGATAGTAATATCTCTAAAATATAGGATAATTAACTCTATAAAGCCATACAGGATAATCACATGAAACAAAGACTTCACGAACGTTTTCATTATTTACAACAGGGTTAAAAAATGAAGTGACAAACGTTGATCCCAACAACACAACAGAAGTAATTATTCTCACTGGTGAAATGTGATAAATGGTGTCCTTTAATAAAAATGTTTTAGTAAAGGCTACTGTAGAAACTACATTGTTCAATTGCATTTGATAAAAACATCTTAAAGACATATTGATTGCATGATGTGTTTTCAATTTTTAATCTCCGCTTTAATTCCAAGAGAGGGAATAGAAAAGCACCAGTTCACGATTGGTAATGAATTAAGATTTTAGTAGGTACGCTACGCTTTTATAGATCAAACAAAATAAATCAAACAATGTATGTATATCAATACTGCTTACTGGTATTATCTCTGAAATACAGAAACAGAAATTTGTGGATATTTTAATATCGCATTTCAAACATTGCACAAAATCAGTTTTTTTTTCTGACTGTTTGCGACATCTCTACACTACATCCATATAATACGTACTGACAGATATTTTAGATCGTAGATATTTTTAGTAAATATTTTTGGCTTTGAACTAGCATTCAGCAAATAACTGCGAGTACTCTTAAAACTGTACTTTGTGTCTTAAGTCCTTTTGGTATTTATTTTTGTATGTTTTGTGTAAATCTGATGAGTCAAGCCTTATTCTTATAGTTTGTTCTTTTGTTGTGCTGTAACAGCCCTGTCACAGGTCAAAGGGAGAGTTGGAAGTCTGCAAACATGTTTAATCCCGCCACAGTCTGCATGTGCCTGTCCTGAGTTAGATGCCTGTAATGCGTTGTTGTCGTTTGTTGTTGTATATCATATATTAAGACATATATAAGATCGTTAGTTTTCTCGTTTGAATTATTTAACATTTTTCATGTGGGGCCCTTTAATAACTTGTTATGCTGTATGAATTTTGATCATTGTTGAAGTTGCCAACGTATACGTCATTTAATTAGTTAATTCAATGGTAATCATACCTCATATTTTACTTATATGCTTTGAGACCGAAACTACTGGATGACTCCTTGAGGAGTTATTTCTATTAATTGATGAGTTTTGCCAAATTCAGTTTTTTTTGCAAAATATCTCGAAAACTTTAATAGAAGACAGAAATTAAACAACATAAATTTGTATCAGTACAAGATCTACAAAATGCCATTATTACTTACATCATTGGGTGAATTTTCAAGGAATTATTGCCATTAAATGATAATTTTCATAAATTTTTGGCGTTTATGGCTTAATCATAGATAGTGAGAAAGTAGAAACTGTAAACATCAAAATTATAAGCCATATAAGATCTACAAAAATGCCAAAATGACTAATTCCTTGGATGGCTTCTTTCAGATGGAGTTATTGCTCTTAAATAATGATTTTAGTCATATTTGCCTTTTGGGCAAAATCCACACAAGTACTAGATAAGCTGTAAACAGCATTAGTGATAGTAAAACAAGCTTAGGTGAAAAGATGTTTTGATCTAGAATATTGTGCTAGTCTATAATATTGGAGAGTGGTCATTATTGAAGATGCATATAGATCCAGATGGGTAACACATATTCTTTAAAGCCTTTAGTTGATTACCGAATTCAAGGGGCCTAAAAAAGTGGCCTTATTATAAAATATTCCTTGAACAGACTTTTTTTCTGTAGTTTCATAAAAAAAATGTGTTTGAACCTGAATAAAAAATAGATTCTGGCAACCATATATTTTCATCCGATCGAAAAAAAAACAAACCGTAAGGAATTTAAATTCCTTAATATGATTATTTGTGCCAATTTAGATTCAGAATGGAAAATGTTTTACACTTAGAAATTGAATTTCTTATAGGGTTGAATGGACATTAAAATTATAACGTGGCATAATTGTTTGTTAGATGTATATGTTGTGTACAAGTTATCATTTTGTACAAATTATAATTTGTCCAAAAAATGCTTCTTCAAATTACAATTTGTACAAAATTTGACAAAAATTCACTTTTAACTTGTACAACGGATATATGATATTTCAACATGATAGTAAAGATGGCCTTTTATATATTTTTAACAGTAAAACATTCTAATTGCTATGAGGAAATCATTTTTGCATTCAACTCTTTTTGAACACTTCTGGACTGTTCATTACTTTGGGGTCAATTGTTTGATATATATCCCCGGTGTTTGTGAACAATCTTATGGTCGTTTACTCATTTGATGTAAAAGTGTAAACATGGCCAGCATTGTTGATCAGCAGAAATTCTGAACCTAGCAGAGAATAATACAATATATGAAAGCACAATCATGTGTTTACCAGGATTTTTGATACCGCATTGGAACAGCTGTAAAAATTTTAGCAGGATATTTTTCTGGAAATAAAATTGAAGCTGTTTAAGACACGTGTTTATTCGCACCAACGGTTCATGAACTTCAACTTTCGCTACCTGAAGCAATTAAAAAGCTTTTAAAAACTGTTTGTCAAGTGTTTTATTCATGTATATGCAAAGGTGATGCAGCACATTTTAATATAAAAACAAGTGCATCTGGAATAATTTAGAATTCTGGAAAGTTGATAAGAAATGTATGATAAAAACTAAGCCAATTTAGGAGAGTTAGCCATGCATGCACGGCTAAGGGGGTTTGTAAGTTCTTACTGAATTATCAGTAAAAGTAACTTGAACCTTAGCCATGCACTAAGTTGGGTTAGTTTTCATTATACATTTCTGATAAATTTTTCCAGAATTCAAAATTATTCTAGATTCAAATAATTCCTTGTCTAAATGTAAAAAGCAAAAGATGTTGTGCAATTCCCGATCCCATAATTCACTCCCATTTATTTTCTGTTTGTGTGATTTTTGTATCAGTTGAATCTATTTAAAAAGCATCTCATTGCTGCTTGTCATTAACTTAAAAAGAACAATGATTAAGATACCTCGTATATTTTCACAAAGACCCTTGGTAGTTTCCCTTCAAAGTATTATGGACAAAACACGAAAATCAATCATCTGATGTCCTTATTTATTTCCGTTACAAATTGTTCTTTACGGAAACACATCAAACAGAACTTTGACATTCTTGACGTTTTTATCGTGAATAACCACAAAACATAGTGTGGTCCCTATATATATAATCATTTCAGGTCAAACCGCACTTATAGATTTGCAAATAGATATTTTAGAAGTATGATTCATTCTACGAAAATGAGAACTTTAACGTTGATGAATTAACTTAGGATATACTGTTAAATTAATAACATTTAACCTGATTAGTCTTTATAAAACAATGTCACACAACACTCTCTGTCATGTTACAGGTTCAATTTATATATTTATAAACAAAGTGTAGATGTTCAACAAGCGTTTTAGAATAAAGAATTTCAAAATGTACTTAATTCATTTTGAAAAAATCTAGTTTTTTAAATACTGGCAAAGGTTTAGAAAATTTCGTAAACGATATTTATGGGAACAATTGGCAAATGTTAAAGTCCTATCTTGGTATAAGCACTTTCGAATGAAAATCATATAACGTGAGTAAGTATAAACTTACAGCTTATTTTTACTCAAAAACGACGATGTTATAACCCTTACAAACTTTGTATCCGCTATTATAGATGCTTACATTAACTTTAAAGAACGATTGATCAGAAATCACACACATTGCTGAAAAAATTTCTAATAAATTACATATTTCATGCAATGTTCAATTTAAATGTTGAAATGCTTCATACACATTTCATTATACAATAACTCAAATGTTATCGTTTTATTTAAATCCACCGTCCTGGTACTAGCAGTTTGGAGAAAAATATTGCAATATAAATCCAAGAGAAAAGATGAAAAGATAATTTGCTGTGTTCTTTATAAATGTTTGTATAATTACCTTATAAACACCATGTGTTTCACTCAGTTGATCGAAGCACGTGTACATAGCATTCAGCATTGAAACAACTTCCATGGGTGTTATACGACTGCATATTGTAGTAAACCCGACAACATCACTAAATAGAATTGTCACATTCTCAAACACCTATATCATAAAAATCAATCAACTATAATGTTTGGTTTGAAATATGTGCTAGATTATATGTTATGCATTTAGTCTTGGTGGTTCTTCAATTCTTTTGTAATACCGTAATGTATTTTGCATCAACTCTCAAGGAAGGACGTTTTTGCATAGATTTGCCTAGACACTAGTTAATTTAAAGTTTTTTTAATTAATTATCCTAACGTTCTTCTACCCATTTCTGTTCTTTTTTATGTACGAAGACTGAAATATACAAGTACTAGGAAGTCAAATCGTAGCTAATTCATGCGAATCACAGATTACTCGTTAGTGTGATCTTTACGAATCTTCCTTCTCATTTTTAAAAAGTTTTATAAGTATCTTAAAACCCGTCTGCAGTTTTCTTAGGTTTGTCCATGCAAATGTTTTCCCACCAACCCCTATATTTTTTTAAGATATTCTAAACCTGCGTCTAAAATACATTTCTAATAAAATAACTAAAATTTATTTTTTGTGCTGCTATATTTTTCTTTCAAAAGTTTAACATTCTTTTATTCCTATAAATTTCATTTGGAATATAAGGAGACACATTTTGACCTCCAAAAACATGTTATTTTACAAATGCTTGTTTTTCAAAAACAAGCACATGACCACATAAGTATTTTTCACGATTTTATTATACGCCATTAATTGAAATAGACGTCATCTATAAAAATTCAGTTATTTTGAATTTCAACAGCGAACATCTTTGATAACTAATATAATATTAGTTGGTCTGTTCGTGTTCCTCGATTTTTCTAAAATTATTACATTTCATTTATAGCATAGAATAACATATATCAAAATAACAAAAAGTCCAAAAGAAGTAATTAAAAATGCATAAACTTGTTATAATGTATCATCATTTCGTGTATAGTTGACTAGACGCCAACTTATTAACCATCGAGGTGACGTCCGAATAATGCTGATGGTCATTAGACACGATATCAACATAAATATAAATATGAATACCCAGACAAGCACGTGCAAATCGTATACTGGTCCAGGTCTGTTTGATTTTATGATGTAATTCAGAAAATGTAAATCGTTAGCTCCCTTTATTAAGTTTTCAATGTTTACATTCTGTTGTATTTTTTTAATAACTGATTATGCTTAGCAAATGCACAACTAATATACACCCAAGGGTCAGATGGAAGATCGCATGTATGCGGATTCAAATAAAGTTGGCTTGTAAGCCTATAACACATCAGCGATGTTTTGAGCTTATTTGAAAAAAATTAAACCTAACTGACTGCTAAAGGCGAAATTTTATTTCAATATTTCGCTTTTATAAATAATTAATAATTAGCGTACTAGTTATTAGCATTTATAATAAAGTTTAACGTCTTGATTAGTTGATCTATGTTCAACATGTTCATAGCAATTAAGTTTGTGTTTTACTAAATTTTTTATATTTATGACAAAACACATTTCTTTACTTTACAGTTTTATATATGTAATAGGTCATTTCCTTTTCAGTTTATAATGAATCATTTTGATAAGATTCAGTTTCTTGATGACATAGCACATTTGTGCGGACAGGGCATTCAACCACTATCAATCATTCAATCTATCTAATGTGCCATACATCTAAACTCTTAATGTATTGATTAAATTACCTGACAGGTAGTTATTGCTGGTTCCCCTCTTCGCAGTCTGTCTGCTACCTGTTTTGGAATCATCTGATACAATAAGGAATCAGTTCGTTTCATTTCTGCGTCCAGCTTTTCCATACTTTCTTCCAAGATTTTACTCTTTTGTTGTTCCTGTTCGAAAGTTGTGTTGATGAAAAAAAAGACCATCATTTCCAGACAATTCACTTTGTGTAAAGCTTGGTAATGTAACGATTTTTTCTAGTGTAAAGTATCGGTCTAAAAATTGGATAATGAAAGCAGATTTTGTCTAGTGTAAAGTATCGGTGTAAAGCTTGAATAATGGAAGCCGATTTCTTCTAGTATATAGTATCTGCATATAATTTCCTAAAGATATTTTACAATTTTTCTGTTCTTTTTTAATGACTTTTCTATAATTACTACAAACAATAATGAAATTGTTAAAAAAATTAACTTTTGCAAAAAAGATTAATTCTATCAGTGCTACAATACTAAACACTACATCACCAATAAAAATAAACTAGAGGCTCTCAAGAGCCTGTGTCGCTCACCTGATTCTACTTTGGATTTGGAAATCATGTAAAAATAGATTAAATCATAACAGACACCCTAATAATGATTGAGGCCAAATTTGGTTTCATATTGGCCCCTTAATTTAATAAAAATCCTGGTGGTCATCTTGAACAGTAAATCAGCAACAAAGTAGCAACACTTCATGCACCTCATAAGGAACATTTATGACATGTTTGGTTTCATTCCATTCAGTGCTCCTCTAGAAGAAGCATTTGTATGTATTTCCCATAGGGTCTTATGTTCAACTAAGTACCCTGCTGGCGGTTATCTTGGATGATGGTTCGACTACAAAGTAACAACACTTGGTCAGCACCTCATTAGGAACATTCATGTCATGTTGATTTCATTCTATTCAGTGGTTCTCTAAAAGAAAACATTTGTATGTATTTCTTGTAGGGTCTTATGTTAAAATTACTCCTCCTACTGGCAGTCATCTTGGATGACAAATCAGCTACAAAGTAACAACACTTGTTCAGCACCTCTAAAGAAACATTCATACCATGTTTAGTTTCAATCCATTAGCGGGTTTCTAGAAGAAGACATTTGTATATATTTCCCATAGGATCATTTGTTAAACTAAGTTCCCCGTTGGCAGCCATCTTGGTTGATGGATTTGTTACAAAGTAACAACACTTGGTCAGCACCTCATAAGGGACATTCATGCCATGTTTTATTTCATTCCATTCAGTGGTTCTTCAAAAAAACTTTTGTATGTATTTTGTAAAGGGTCCTTTGTTAAACTAAGTTCCCCGCTGGCAGCCATCTTGGATGATTGATTGGCTACAAAGTAACAACGCTTGGTCAGCACCTCATAAGAAAAAATCATGCCATGTTTGGTTTCATTCCATTCAGTGGTTCTCTAAAAGAAGACATTTGTATGCATTGTCCATAGGGTCCCTTGTTAAACTAAGTTCCACGCTGGCAGCCATCTTGGATAATTAATCGGCTACTAAGAAACAACACTTGGCCAGCAATGCATAAGGAACATTCATGCCATGTTTGGTTACATTCCATTCAGTGGTTCTCTAAAAGAAATCATTTGTATGTATTTCCCGTAGGGTCCTATGTTAAACGAAGTCCCTCGCTGGCGGCCATCTTGGATGATGAATCGGCTTCAAAGTATCAACACTTGGTCAGCACCTTATAAGGAACATTCATGCCCTGTTTAGTTTCATTCCATTCAGTGGTTCTTTAAAAGAAGACACTTGTATGTATTTCCCATAGGGTCCTATGTTAAACAAAGTCCCTCTCTGGCGGCCATCTTGGATGATTAATCGCCTACAAAGTTACAACACTTGGTCAGCATCCCATAAGAAACATTCATGCCATGTTTGATTTCATTCCATTTAGTGGTTCTCTAAAAGAAGACATTTGTATGTATTGTCCATAGGGTCCTATGTTAAACGAAGCCCCCCGCTGGCGGCCATCTTGGATGATGGATCGGCTTCAAAGTAACAACACGTGGTCAACACCTTGTAAGGAACATTCATGCCCTGTTTGGTTTCATTCCATTCAGTGGTTCTTTAAAAGAAGACACTTGTATGTATTTCCCATAGGGTCCTATGTTAAACAAAGTCCCTCTCTGGCGGCCATCTTGGATGATTGATCGGCTTTAAAGTAACAACACTTGGTTAGCACCTCAGAAGGAACATTCATGTCATGTTTGGTTTCATTCCATTCAGTGGTTCTCTAAAAGAAGACATTTGTATGTATTGTCCATAGGGTCCTATGTTAAACGAAGCCCCCCGCTGGCGGCCATCTTGGATGATGGATCGGCTTCAAAGTAACAACACGTGGTCAGCACCTCATAAGGAACATTCATGCCTGTTTTGTTTCATTCAATTCAGTGGTTCTCTAAAAGAAGACTTTGTATGTATTGTCCATAGGGTCCTATGTTAAACGAAGTCCCCGCTAGTGGCCATCTTGAATGATTGATCGGCTACAAAGTAACAACACTTGGTCAGCACCTCATAAGGAACATTCATGCCATGTTTGGTTTCATTCCATTCAGTGGTTCTCTAAAAGAAGACATTTGTATGTATTATCCATAGGGTCCTTTGTTAAACTAAGTTCCATGCTGGCAGCCATCTTGGATGATTAATTGGCTACTAAGAAACAACATTTGGCCAGCACTGCATTAGGAACATTCATGCCATGTTTGGTTTCATTACATTTAGTGGTTACTTAAAGAAATCATTTGTTTGTATTTCCCGTAGGGTACTATGTTAAACTAAGTCCCTCTCTGGCGGCCATCTTGGATGATTGATCGCCTACAAAGTTACAACACTTGGTCAGCACCTCATAAGGAACATTTATGCCATGCTTGATTTCATTCCATGAAGTGGTTCTTTAAAAGCAGACATATGTATGTATTTCCCATAGGATCCTATGTTTAACTAAGTCCCTCTCTGGCGGCCATCTTGGAAAATGGATCAGCTTCAACGTAACAACACTTGGTCAGCACTTCACAAGGAACATTTATGTCATGTTTGGTTTCATTCAATTCAGTGGTTCTCTAAAAGAAATGATTTGTATGTATTGTCCATAGGGTCCTATGTTAAACGAAGTCCCCCGCTGGCGGCCATCTTGTATGATGAATCGGCTTCAAAGTAACAACACTTGGTCATCACCTCATAAGGAACATTCATGCCCTGTTTGGTTTTATTCCATTCAGTGGTTCTTTAAAGGAAGATATTTGTATGTATTTCCCATAAGGTCCTATGTTAAACAAAGTCCCTCTCTCGCGGCCATCTTGGATGATTGATCGGCTTCAAAGTAACAACACTTGGTCAGTACCTCATAAGGAACATTCATGTCATGTTTGGTTTCATTCCATTTAGTGGTTCTCTAAAAGAAGACATTTGTATGTATTGTCAATAGGGTCCTATGTTAAACGAAGTCCCCGCTGGTGGTTATCTTGGATGATGGATCGGCTACAAAAGTAACAACACTTGGTCAGCACCTCATAAGGAACATTCATGCCCTGTTTGGTTTCATTCCATTCAATGGTTCTCTAGAAGAAGTTCAAAATGTAAAAAGTTAACGACGACGACGACCGACGACGGACGACGACGACACAAAGTGATGAGAAAAGCTCACTTCGGGCCAGGTGAGCTAAAAATAGAATGCTAGCAGTTACTGAAAGCAATCTCAAAGTACTTAGAATTATTATATTGAAACCTTGCCTTTCTATCTTCTAACATCCGCGGCTGCACTTCCGAGTAGTTTATTCGACCAAATGGAAAGATTTAAAGGACAATATTTTATAATGGTTCCTTTATAAATAATATTCACAGGAAAGGCTGAGTATTAATTATCAATTGTTTAATTTCTGCAAGTGGAATCCTAACTATGCTTAGAAAATTTATATTTGTAATAAAATATAGTCAGTTTGATCAATTAATGAGATCTGTATGCCTGTTATAAAAGTTTTTTTTGTGATGAAAATATTACGTTTTGCAAAAATCCACAAATCCATTAAAAATACAAATCAAGGTAGAAACTTAACGTGAGGGATTGACACGAGGAAAAGGAAAGTCTCCTGCTTTACATGCATCATCCACCACCCGAATCCACACTCAGTCAAAATCACACTCAATCAAAATGTCACAATTGGGAACACTATCGGTACATTTACAGACCAGACGACCCTTAAGGTATCTAACTAAGACTGCGAAAACAGTAGTTAGTAGAATCCCGGCGAATAGTCTTCAATAAATTATGAAGGATCGCTAGTAACGGAAAATAGAAGAAGATATATTGAGACATCGTATCAGTCAACACATCCGTTATGATGACCGTAAAACTTATGTAGTGTCGATTTCAGTCGCTTTTCCTCATACATCTGTTTGTGTTAGGAGCACACCCTTTTCTATCTGTATAGTGAGAACATGGACGACCGTAATTAATTTATTGAGATATGGTTACACCATACGATGGAAGGAGCTTATTTACTGCTCAGAAATAGGCGTTAAAAATTGGAAAGTAGAAATCATCACGTTTGTCATACTTCGAGTTTGAAGTCGTACATCTGTTTCAATATCGAGTAAAAGATCATGATATAAAGCAGATCTCTAGTTTCGGCAGCAACTTTAATCTGAAATTGACTGAGATATATGAGATGCAAGCACTTACTGAAATGTGGGCTATAGAGTGACAGGACATAATAAATATAGTATATGAAAGTAAAGTAAAGAACTTTGGAAGATGCTTTTTTCTTTTTTTCTTTATGAGGTTATGCATGAATTCTGCTTCATATGAGTACAAAAACAAGTCGGATATACAATTAGTACCTATTGGAATACCAACTCTCTGTTGAAATATCAATCCATAAATCAAATGTTTTTTCGATCAAAAATTTTTATGATATTATCTTCGGTATGTTTGAATCATATAGTACTTCGCCAAGCAAGTTTTTTCATGACCTACAAGGAATTTGTATTTACGTTTTCATTTTTTGTAGAAAAAACCTCCGTTAAATGAGACAATTAAGTCGATTTTTCAATTCAGGATGGGATATAGTAGTGTAGAGCATAGACAAATCAAAAGTGTTGATATCATTGCAAAATTGTAAAATAAAAGGTTGTGAGTGAAGATTTTGGAGTAGATCTTTAGAAGTTTTAAGAATCCGCATCTGATTGATACCACTGGTTGGATTAACTTGGTCACAATATTTCTGAAGGTTATCTTTTACTGTATTGAGAATGTTAGTAAAAACACTTTAGACAGATGGTCAGTCAAACACCTATGCGACCCGGCTATATATCGTTCTTTTTAAGTTTTTTTTGGGAAGTTTATGTATCCTTTATAAAGACAGAAAATGTTCATAGTCTTTATATTAATACCAAAGGAGAGAAGGACGGATTCATGATTCTTAAATCTCAACTTTCGTGAATGATGTAGGGGTGTATTTGGGATTCCACGATTTGCTGCGATTTCAAGTTCTTTAACTAGACATTCCCAAAATGAGTGGATATTAAAACAGATTGATTAGAGGCTTTGTCTACTGGAAAAACGACACATTTGTCATGAAGAAACGATAAAGCATCGACAACGTCGGGCTTCTTAAAACCCGTGTGTTTATGGTATTTAATGTGTCTCTGAATATATCGCCTAACAGCTTTGATACATTAAGATAAGTGTCCAGGCAAGGATTATCTGGCTCGAACTTAACCCATTGTTTGGCATAGTCCTCCACTGCATCTATCAGTAACCTGGAGTTCTTCCGGATGATTGGTTGGGGAAATCGACAACTCTTTAAATTGTTAGTTGTTAAAGATGGCAAGGTCTCCCGTTGATCAGTGGGGTTATATTTGTATGGGGAAGGTGAATAAGAGAAATTGGGAGATTTAGATTTTACATCTGTCAAGGACTCAAGGTAAAGGTCTCTAATATGCTCTTGAGGTTGTAAATCTTTGATTCTATAAAATATAGCAAAACTATTGGACATATACTAACCTGATCGAGAGCCAATTTTAATTCTGCTGATTGTTGTGTACCCGCCAAAACGAGGTCACGACTTGAATCATGCAAACTGAGGTCATTGATGAACAAACCTGCCCTAAACATTGCATCTAAATTTTGAAGTCTGAAAATAAATTTAAACGGAAATAAATAAACAGCGGAAAATTAATTAATTATATCCTTACAGCAGCAAAGGAGAAGTTATGGTGAGGCTACCGTTTAGTAGGAAATCATAAATATATCAAATACTACGTATCTTTTTGATATTTACAAGACAATTCTCTGTAAGACATTTATAACGTATTTATACGTTCCAAAAAAACTTAATGTTGTTAACTTTAAATTTCAAATATTTATGTGTGATACTGGTGAGACAATTAAAAATTGTAAGCTTATTTTTATTGCCTTACTGGACATTATTTGTGAAATTTGGACGCCCTGTTCAGTGTAAACTGTAAGAATATTCGTGTCTGGAATAACCTACAAGTGTATTCCAGTAAGACAAATATTTAAACAAATTCCAAAGACGTTTAAAGCAAAAATGATTGAACGAAACTACTTTTCATGACGATTACAGACTTTCTGCAAATGCTGTTAAATATAAATAATTTCGCTGTCGAATATGACATTAGTAATACATAAGAGTTGTTTCAATAAAGAAGATTTCAAATAAATCATTGTACTATTGATAAGAAATTTCTATTATAACTTAGAGATTTATCGTTCATTGAAATATGTTTTTAAAATTATTTGTTTCAGAAAAGGCGCCAGCATAGGATTTAATCCCATCAACCTGTGGAATTAATGAGACAAGAACAAATATATCACTAATGCAAAATAAATTATTACAAAATATGAGAGAGTACATTCGTATTTGTAACCTTCAAGAAAACACACAGTTTCCTATACTCTTTTTACAAGTAAAAAGTGTTTCTATCTTTCAGCTAAGAAATTACAAATGACATTTTGATACATTTGTATGTGTTGAAATTTGAAACTTTGCAATCTGTGACACAGATATGGAATAACAGTCCATAAAATCACACTAAAGTGGAAAAACATTCAAAGAGATGATTTTTGACCATAAAGAAACCTTGGTTCAATAGGTTCTGGTAAACAATGTTCACTTTTACAACTTTCCACGACTTATTTCAACTCATTAAACTTAATTACTTTTACCTGAACATCTCCCTATGGCATTTGATTGGTTTCACAAGCAGCGACAAATATTTCACAAATCCTGAACATTAATATTTTAACCTTATATGGAGTTATTTGCCTGTGTTAGGTCATAACTTACCCCGATTATAATGCAAACTAATTTTTTAAAACATCATTTGATGTTGCCCTTGTGGGGTTTTCTAAACAATTTTTCATCTTGAATATTCCTTAAAGGTTTAAGGCAGAAACAATCCTTTAAATACTAGTACCAGAGCGCACAGTTAAGCAAGATCAAACCCGTTCAAACAACGGAACATTACCGGCTCATCTGCGTGTTTTACCAAGGAATTGTCCATTAGATTGACAAAAATTCTGTCCGCAGTGAAAAAAGGTCTTCAGAAATACTGTGAAGCTGTTTACTCGCGTAGTGGTATTAACCATATGTGGATTCTAAAAAAATCTAAAGAACTTCTGGATAATTTTAAATCTCGATCTTTCTCTGAAATAATTGTATCAAAACCTTTGATTTTTCAACCCTTTATACCACTATTCCCCATGTCAAATTAAAAAATCGTCTAAAAGAAATAATCCACAATGGTTTTCAATATAAAAATGGTAGCATACGCTAGAAATGTATTGCTTTGAATTACCATACGGCATATTTTGTTAATAATGAACAAAACATGCTACACCGAGGAACAAGTGGTCAGTATGCTGGAGTTTCCTATTGACAACATATTTGTTGAATTTGTAGCTAGACCTTCTAAACAAATTGTCTGCATTTCTAAGGGAACGAACTTTGCGACTCTCCTTGCCGACCTCTTCTCATTTTGATACGAGTAGGAGTTCCATCAAACACTTGTCAAAAACAAGAAGATCAAAGAAGCCAAATCATTTAATTTCACATCCAGATATATTGATGATGTCCTTTCCATTTACAATCCAAACTTTTCCGATTGGGTTCCATTAATGTATCCTCCAGAACTAGAAATCAAAGAAACAACATACACAGCTTCTTTCGCCTCATTTTTTTTTACTTATACCTCGAATTTCACATAAGCGGTCATCTCAATACAAGAATCTATGACAAACGAGACGATTTTAATTTTGAAATGATCAATTTCCCCCACATTAGCAGCAATATACCAAAAAGTTGAATTACAAAAATACTGAACTCCGAGGAAAATTCAAAACGGAAAGTCCCTAATCAAATGGCAAAATCAAAAGCACAAACACATCAAACGAATGGACAACAACGGTCATATTCCTGACTTGGTACTGTTTTTTATTTTATGTAGAAAATGGTGGATTGAACCTGGTTTTATAGCGCTAAATCTCTCACTTGTATGACAGTCGCATCAAATTCCATTATATTGACAACGATGCGTGAATAAAACAAACAGACATAATAGATAGAAATGTCAAAATAGGGGTACAGCAGTCAACACCGTGTCACAATCTTAATCACAACAAAAACAAACAAATATTTAACAAAGAAGCACAAAAAAGCATATATCACATTTAACAACCTCGTTCATTGCTTACTTATTTTTGTATTTTATTTATGTATGCCAAATCAACCAATAAAAGATCGAGGGATTTTAAGAACTGGAACCGAATCGTAATTTTAACATTAACTCTGGCGTAGAATCGCGTTTGACGTCGGAATGGAAATGTCACACAGGTAGAGATATAAAATAATTTTGTCGTTCAAAGTATGCAAAAATTAAAATAGAACAATAACACAATGGCGGGATGTTTAAAGTACAGAGACACGTCATATGTATCAAAGAAACATAAAAAGTAACACGGACAAAGCACACAAGTAAAAATGAAAAATAATACAAACAACACAATGACGGGATGCATAAGTACAGAGCCACGTCAAATGTATATCACCAAAAACAAACCAAACAGTAAAAGTAATATTAATAAAGACTAAGAACACTTTAACACGTTATTAAAATGATAAACATCATCAGTACGCAGAATCTATACTTTAAGACCATCATGCATTATTTGTAAAGTTGATACGGAATATTTATCAACAAGGTCTTGGTACCTTCCGATTAACTTATTTAGAAAAAGGACGAGACGTTCTTTGACATACCCCTGGTTCATCAACTTTTTGCTCAGACACTGGTGACGTTTTTCAAAGTCTGAGTAGGAGCTGCAAGCTCTTGCATACCGAATAAGTTGGGAAATGTATATCCCATATGCAGGTGAAGTTGGTATATTGCAACTAAGGTGGGGGAAATTGATCATTTTAAAATCAAAATCGTCTCGTTTGTCATAGATTCTGGTACTGAGATGACTGTGTATGTCAAATTCGAGGTATAAGTCAAAAAATGAGGAGGAAGCCGTGTCTGTTGTTTCTTTAATTTCTAGTTCAACTTCATCTGCATATGGGATATACATTTTCCCAACTCATTCGGTATTCAAGAGCTTGCAGCTGCTACTCAGACTTTATGAAACGTAACCAGTGTCTGCGCATAAAGTTGATAAAACAGGGTTATGTCAAAGAACGTCTCGTCCTTTTTCTAAAAAAAGTTCATTGGAAGATACCAAGACCTTGTTGATAAATAGTATATAGAATCTAGGTAATGACGATGTTTATCATCTTAATAACGTATTAAAGTGTTCATTTGATTTGTCTTTGTATATTGTTAACCTTTACTGATGAGTCTATTTTTGGTAATATCCTTTTGGCGTGGCTCGGTATTTATACATCTCGCCATTATGTTACTGTGCTATGGTCATTTTTTTGCATTCTTGTCTCTCTATTTTGCTTATGTGCTTTGTCCATAGAGTTTCTATATGCCATTTTGTTTTTCTTTGTTGACATAATTTTTTGTTTTTATAGTGATTAAGATTATAACAATGTTGACTGCTGTACCCCAATTTTGGACATTTTTACCAGTTACGTCTGTTTTCATTGATTTGTTCACACATTGTTGTCAATATAAATTAATTTTATGCGACTGTCATACAAGTTAGAAGTTTAGCTAGCTATAAAACTAAGTTTAATCCACCTTTTCTACTAAAGGAATTGCTTGTACCAAGTCAGGAATATGACTGTTGTTATATTCCCTACGGTCGGTCTTTCATTTGAACAATCCTGACACCCCTCGGTGTGTTTTACGACAAGAAAACCATTATATATGCATTATCTATAACATATCAAATGTCAATTCGTAGAATCTGACATGTAAGGGGACGGGGTGATTGAAAAGGCGGATAATGTTTACTACAATTTGAAAATATATAGTCGTATTGAGCTGGGTCGGAAATGTTCTCTAAAATCTAGCCACCTACGGACGAGGTTTGTTCGAGTCCGTTGTTATTCTTTCAGATCGTGAATTAACTATGTATAGTGTCAAGAAACTGGCTGTTTATTTATAAAATTCGTACAGCAAAAACGAAAGCCTTCACTGTCTCTTCAACAAAGGGCTAATTATCGAACTGTAATTGTATAGTTCTAACTTATCTATACCATAGTTACCCTTGGTCCTACTCTTATTCATATATAATTCAACTGACAACGTAATACTAACTTTTTATAACGTACTGTCAATCATAAATGGTAAAGACAAATTCTTGGACAGCTCAGGTAATACAATTGTTTTTTTTTATGTTTTTCTTAGTGAATTTGTAAAAAATGTAAGATCAAATAAAACACAGAAAAAACTACCGCCGTGAAGCGATAAAAAAACGTAAGATACGTTGTTAGTAACAATTTCTCTGTCTCTAATGAAGTCTTTATTACACAGTATGATGCATCATGTGATTAAAATATTATTTAATGAAAATGAAGTAAATAAGAATGGCAATCGTTGCGTGACAGTCTTTTGCGTCATAAAAAATTTGAGAGGATAATTGAATTCTATTTTACCATTGATATCAAATTATCAGACTAATTATTTATTCTATGTGATTCTGGAGAAAAACAAATGATGTCCAAAC